GGTCTCTACTCTGTTCCATTGGTCCTCATGTCTGTTTTTATGCCAATACCATGCTGTTTTGATTATCACAGCTTTGTAATGTATTTTGGGGCCAGGAAGTAAGATGCCCCCTACTCTTCTTACGAGAATGGCTTTGGCAATACAGGGTCTTTTATGGTTCCAGTCAAATTCCATAATTGTGTTTTCTAGATCTATGAAGAATGTTTCTTGTAATTTTATCAAGATTGCATTAAATACACAGATTAATTTTGGTAGGATTGCCATTTTGATTATATTAATTCTGCCAATCCAGGAACATGGGATGTCCTTCCACTTTTTTCGTGTCCTTTTTGATTTCCTTTTTAAGGTTTTCATAGTTTATCTTACAGAGGTCTTTGATTTCCTTGGTTAGTTTTATTCCTAAGTATCTTACACTTCTTGTTGCTATGGTAAATGGGATTACTTTGTTCTGTTCTCTCTCTGTCTGCTTTTTGTTTGTATATAGAAATGGTATAGGTTTTTGTAAGGTAATTTCGTATTCTGCCACTTTACTGTATGCATTTATTACTTCGAGGAGTTTTTTTGTGGATACTATTGAGTCTTCTATGACAATCTGCAAACAGAGATAATTTCAGTTCTTTTGCTATTGGAATGCCTTTTATTGCCTTCTCTTTTTTGATCACATTGGCTAGGACTTCCAGTATTATATTGAATAGTAGCAGAGAAAGTGGGCAGCCTTGTCTTGTACCAGTTTTTAGTGGAAAATCTTTAAACTTTTTTTCATTCAGTATAACGTTAGCTATATATTTTCCATAGATGGCTTTTATTGTGGTCAGAAATGATCGTTCTATGCCAATTTTACTGAGCATCTTAATCAGGAAAGGATGTTGTATTTTGTTGAATGCTTTTTCAGCATGAATTGAAGTGATCATATGGTTTTTATCTTTCTGTTAATATGCTGTGTTAAATTTATGGTCTTGCATATGTTGAGCCACCCTTGTATTCCTGGAATAAAGCCCACCTGGTTGTGATGAATAATCTTTTTTATATACTGTTGAATACAGTTAGCAAGTATCATGTTGAGGATTTTTGCATCTACATTCATCAGAGATATAGGTCTGTAGTTTTCCTTTTTTGTTGTATCCTTATCCGTTTTGGGAATGAAGGTAATGGAGGTTTTATAGAATGAGTTTGGAAGGGTTCCTTCCTTTTGGATCTCTAGAAACAGTGTGATTAGAATGGGGGTTAACTCTTCTTTAAAAGTTTTGTAAAACTCGGCAGTGAAGCCATCAGGACCTGGGCTTTTTTTTGTTGGAGGTTTATTACCAATTCAATTTTATTGCTTTTTATAGGTCTTTTCAGGCTTTCAATGCCCTCTTGAGCCAATCTTGGTAGATTATACATCTCCAGGAATTTGTCCATCTCATCCATTTTTTTTTCCCCGTATAGTCACTCTTAGTGTCCTCTAATGATGTTTTGTATTTCTGTTATGTTGGTTGTAATGTTGCCTGATTCATTGTGAATTTGATGTATCTGATTCCCTTTTCTCTTCTTGTTGATAAGTCTAGCTAATGGTGTGTCAATCGTATTTATCTTTTCAGACAACCAGCATTTGCCCTCATTTATTTTCTGTATAGTTTGCTTATTTTCTATTTCATTTATTTCTGCTGAAATCTGTATTATTTCTTTTTTACTGGAATTTTTTTTTCTTTTTCTTTTTTTGGTTTTGTTGTTGGTTTTCCAGTTCCCCAAGGCATCAATGTTAGGTTATCCTTTTGCTACCTTTCCATCTTTTTCTGCTTGGACTAATTACTATGAACTTCCCTCTTAAGACTATTTTTGCAGTGTCCCATAGATTATGGAAGCTCCTGTACTCATTACTATTTATTTCCATGAATCTTTTGATTTCAGTCTTAATCTCTTCAGTACTCATGAAGTCATTCAGAAATAGGTTATTTAGTTTCCATGTATTTGTGTGTGTGTTTTTTTTTTTTGAGAGGTTTTCGCTATAGGGCGCTTGCGCTCGCCAGACAGAGACATAGAGACAGAAAGCGCGAAATCACCCCCCAGAGGGGATGGTCACGCTGCAATCCCTTCTCCATTCTCTTCTCAGGATTTTGGGCATGCACGCACATGCGCCTGGCGTGAGTTTTAAGCTGCCGGGTCCAGGACGCGAACTGCGGTCGACTGCGTGGGAGTCCAGCGACATAGCCATTATGCTAACTGCTGGTTCCCTATTTGTGTGTTTTTGAGGGTTTCTCCTGAGGTTATATCAAGTTTTATTCCATCATAGTCAGAGAAGATGCTGGATATAGTTTCTATGCCTTTGAATCTGCAAAGGCTTGTTTTGTGCCCTATCATGTTGTCAGTCTTTGAGAAGGTACCATGGTGGGCTGAGAAATAGGTATATATATATATATATATTTTTTTTTTTTTTTTGGGTAGAATGTTCTGTAGATATCTGTTAAGTCCATCTGATTTATGGTATCATTGAGGTCCTGAATCTCTTTGCTTATTTTCTGTCTCATTGATCTGTGTAAAGGAAATAATGTTGTGTTGAGATCTCTAATAATTAGTGTGTTTGTTACAGTCTATCTCTCATTTTAGATCTAGCAGTCTTTCTTTTACATATTTGGGTGCTCCTGAATTGGGTCCACAGATATTTATAAGTGTTATATATTCTCGATTAATTAGACCATTTACTTTTTTTCCAAAATCAGTATGGTGACTCCTGCTCTTTTTTGGTTTCCATTTGCATGGAATTCCTTTTTCTAGCCCTTCACTTTTAGTTTATATATTTCTTTATCCATGAGATGGGTTTCTTGTAGGTAGCATATGGAGGGTTTCTGATTTTTAATCCATTCAGCCAGTCTTTGTCTCTTGATCAGAGAATTTAATCCATTAACATTCAATATTATTGATATTTCCAGACTCATCCCTAAAATTAAGTTGGCCATATTCTTAGTTTTTGTTCTCTTGTTGCTGTCTGTCTTAGTTTTCTTGGTATAGTACTCCTTTCAGAATTTCTTGAAGAGCTGGTCTCGAGTTGGTAAATTGTATCAGGTTTTATTTATCTGAGAATGTTTTTAGTTTCTTTTTCCATATGAAGGATAATCTTGCCGGGTAAAGTATTCTTGGTTGAAATTGTTTCTCATTCAACACTTTGAATATATTTCCCCATTCTTTCCTTGCTTGCATTGTACCACATGAGAGATCTGGTGTTAGCCTGATGGGATAGTCTTTGTAGGTGATTTGACATTTCTCTCTCACCAATCTTTGTATCTTGTCTGTTGTTTTGGTCAATCTAGTATAACGTGCCATGGAGAGGATCTTCTTGGATTGATTCTACCTGGGGTTCTTTGTATTTCTTGGGTCTCTATGTTTGAATGCCTCTCTAGACTTGGAAAGTTTTCTTCCAGGATTTCATGGAATAGATTATTCATTCCCTTATGAGATTCTTTACCTTTTAGGATATCAATTATTTGGATATTTGTACATTTCATGGTATCTAGTATTTCTTGTATGTGATGCTCTGTTTTCTTGGCTGTTTTCTTAGTATTTTTGATAATTTTTTCTAAGTTAAAATTTTGTCTTTTTCTGAAATTCGATCTTTCTGCATGGTCTAACCTGCTTTTAATACTTTTGAGGGAGGTTTTAATTTCCTGTATTATAGCCTTCATATCTAACAGTTCTCTTTTATTCTTTTTTATGGAGTCCAATTCTTTCATGTTGTGAAAGGACTTACTCATCTCTTGGAGCTCAATTATAGAATTTTGTTACCATAAATATTCTGAATTCTTTCTCTGACATTTGGTGATATTCTCTAATAGTTCCCTCCGTGGAGACAAGTTACAGTGTTCCCTTGTTGGAGATATATTTGAAGCTCTTTTCCTATTCTTAGTCATTTGTTAATGTACTAACTTGTTAGAGAAGGATTATGAAACTGTGAGCCCATGCGTTTCCTTACTGTGAAATAACTCAGTGCTATTTTTTCCCTTCTACTGTGTTATCCAGTGCAGAAAAGGCAGGAGTTTTGCAATTGAATTCATAAGGGCAATTTCAGTATTTGCAATGACTATCGTGAGGTACAAAGATTTTCCTAAAACTAACACTTTTAAGAATTTATCTACTACACACCTAGTAATCTCTAGTCAGTGGGTAAGCACTGAGCAGTAAACAGGAATGTAAGGTAAAAGAAAAAAAGCAGGAAATTGAAGAAGAGAGAGCAAGGGAAAAAGGAGGAGGAAAGTACTATGAGAAAAAGAGGAAAAAATTAAAAATTACTTCACAGAAAATGAAATTGGGTTAAAAATGGAAAACCGTGTGGTGTGATTTTCCCAACTCAGACAGAAGTGGAGGACTTTGGATGCTTTCTATCCTACGTGAAGGAAGAAGAGATCAGTTAACCCGAGAGAGGTGCACACATGGCAAAACCGTTTTTTTTATTTTTTAATTTTTTACAGACAGAAAACAGTTAGAAGGTACAGAGCAGAACAAGAGTGAGACGTTTGCATACCTGACTGGCACTGGGGTCTATGGGGGAGCCCTGGCTGGGGGAGAACTTTGCAGCCCTGAAGCTGCACTCAGAGGCCCCAGTCCGACAGAGGCGGAGGAACCTGGAGGCTTTCTATCCTGACTGGCACTGGGGTTTGCGGGGAGCCCTCCCTTTCTCTCTTCTTAACTAGTCTTTGTCTCTGGTTTTGGCGAATCGGGCTATTCAGATTGGTTCTATTTGGGGTTCTTTGTCTTTCTTGGGTCTGAATGTTTGAGTGCTTCTCTACATTTGGAAAGTTTTCTTTCAGGATTTCGTGGAATAGATTATCAGTGCCTTTATTAGTTTCTTTACCTCCTGGGATACCAATTACTTGGATGTTTGGGTGTTTAATGGTATTTAGTATTTTTCGTTTATTCTCATTTTTCTTGGTAATATTCTCAGTGTTTTTGATAATTTTTTCTAGGTCAGAGGTTTTGTCTTTTACCTTCAGGATTCGTTCTTCTTCATGATCCAACCTGCTTTTAATGAAAATATGGAACTCTTCATGAATTTGCATGTCATCTTTGTGCAGCAGCCATGCTAATCTTCCCTGTATTGTTCCAGTTTTAGTATATGTGCTGTTAAAGCGAGCACGAGTCTGTGTATTTTTATCAAATATGACAGTCTCTGCCATTACATAAGTATGTACTTCTTTTACATTAAACTATGGTTGAATTTAGGACTTCTGTTTTGTTATCTATTTTTCAAATTAATCACATTTTTAGTATTCTGTTTGAATAATTAAACTGATATGTGAGCCAAAGAGTCAAGCCTTAGGAGAAACCAGCTCTGTGGACAACTTGTTCTTGATCATCCTCCAGAACTGTCAGAAAATCAATTTCTGTTGTTTAAGCCACCAAGTCTGATACATTGTTATAGAAAGTCCTAGCAAAACTTTGTTGCATTATTTTTGGTTACTTTAAGGTTTTAAAATATACATTAATAAGATTATTTATATATTACATCCATGAGAAGGAGACAAACAGAGAGAGACAGCGTTCCCAACAGGGTTATGATACCAGATCCACCTCTAGCTTTAGCTACCCCTAGATCAGGGGCAGCGTGCCTGACATACTCAGGGAAGCCTTCTGGATGGAAACCTAGAACCTTCCTGTGTGGATTAATCTTGCAGAGTGTTGGGTTGTTATTTCTGTGCCACTCTCTGATCTCTGAATTTAAAAATGTTTTTGTTTTCCAGCAGATGGCATAGTGTTTACACTGCTGGACTCCCACGTTGTCGACTGTGGTTCGAATTCTGGACCCGGTGGCTTAAAACTCAAGCTGGGTATGTGTACGTGCATGCCCAAAGTTCCAAGAGGAGAATGAAGGAGAAGGGATTGCAGTGTAATCATTACCCCTGGGGTGATAACTCGCTTTCTGTCTCTCTTCTGTTACTCCGATGAGCACACACACCCTTTAGCAAAAATCTCTTTAAAAAAAAGTTTTCATTATGATATATCTGATAGTATATTGTTTTACATAAAATAAAGTTTTTCTTTTTAAATATGCAAGTTCCATTTATGACTCCTGTCCTTTGTGCTATTGTTTATATATGTATCTGTTTATGTATTTTAAAAATAAGTTTTCACTAGATGTGTATGCATTTGCTAGAGAGAGAAAGAGCAGGAAAGTGAGAAAACACCTTCCCTGAGGGATGACTACACCACAGTCTGTAGTCTGTGTTTCCCTCCTTTTGGGATTTTGGGCACACATGAATGTAGTCTGTGTGTTTCTCAAGTTTCAGGATTTGGGACTTGAATTGCACAGTTGTCCATGTGAGATCCTGCTGCTTTAATCACTATCACACTGGCTGGCCCATGGTGACATATTAGATTATATAGCTATGAGTCTTCCATATATTGTAATTTTTATTTTAAACAGTCTTATCTGTTTTATAGAAATTAAGACAGGAAATAACATAATCTGTTAGGCTTACCTATACATTTACTGTTTTTGGTGACTGTGATTCTTTCCTATATATCCATTTTAGTTAACATTATATGTCATTTTCTTTTCATCTAAAGAATTTCATTTAGCATTCTTGTCATATAGGCCTAGTAGCTATGAATTTTCTTAGTTTTGCTTACTTAAAAATGTCTTAATTTCACATTTTTTTTTCAGGATTGTTTTAGTGGATATATCAAATCACAAGTTAAAGTGTGTTTTATTTCAGCACTTGAAAGATGTTCTTCTGTTGTTCCTGATGAGAAGTCAGCTATTGTTTGTAGGTGGTTATACCAAGTTTGCCATGTGTTGTTGGTTGACTGCTTTCTATGTCTTTGTCTTTGCATTTTGCCACCTTAACTGTGATGTGCCATAGAGTAGTTTTCTTTGTATCCATTTTTATTAGAAGTCCTTGTATTCTTGGATCTGTAAATTGTCATCTTTCTCAAAATTTGGGAAGGTTTAACCATCGTTTCTAAACGTAGATTTTATGTTTCATTTTCTTTCTTTTCCTTCTAAAAGTCCAACTGCATATACATCGGAGTGCTTTCTAAATTATCTTACCTGTTCTGAGCCTGTGTCATAAAGGTTAGTCATTAGGAAAGCTGTCTAACCTTGTTTTCTTTTGCCTTTTATAATCTGCTGTCAAACCCAACCATACATTTTAATGATTATATTGTACAGCTCTAAGTTTTCCATATTTTTCTACTTTCTTTTTTACTGAGATTCCTCATATTTTTATATTTTCCTTTAAGTATTTAAAGGTATTCATTCATGGTTTAACCATCTTGTACATGAAAAACCCATGTTTGTTTCTAGTGATTTCTTTACCTTGAGTACAAGTTTCCTGTTTCTTGCCATGTACAGTGATTCTGAGTTTTATTCTGGATATGTAAATCATATGTTGCAGAGATTGTGTATAGTATATTCCTAGAAAGAGTGATGTTGGATACCAGCAGATGGAGTAATTGTTATATTGCTGGACTCCCATATGGTTGACTGCAGTTTATGTCCCAAACCCAGTGGCTTAAACCTCATGCTAGGCATGTGTGTATGTATGCCCAAGATCCTGAGAGGAGAATAGAGAAGTGATTGTGGTGTGGCCATCCTCCCTGGGGGTGATTTCCTGCTTTCTGTGTCTCTGTCTCTTTGGTGAGTGCATGCACCCAATAGAAAAAATATCTCTTTCCCGCCAAAAAAAAAGAGTGATGTTGATTCTACAGGCAGTTAACTGATTCAAATGAACAAATTCTGGGGTCAGCCCTACAGCCTAGTGGTTGGGGAAGCTAGATCCCACATGGCTGGCCATAGTTTAAATCTGTGCTCACCAGAGAGACACAGAGAGAGTGAAAATGAGAGAGCAAGCTGCCAGGTCTGGGACTTGAACTATGGTCAGCCATGTGGGAGTCCATTACCTCAACCACCATACCACCTGCAGGACCATGTGTCTCTATTTTTAAAATTATTAAAATTATTTTATTTTGATTAATTTTATTATATATTACTACAGCTTGTAAAATGAGTTACACAACAAGAATGCAGTTCACACCAGTCCAGCTGAAGTTACCATACATGTTATCAACAATCCTCTATTTCTGTGTTCCTTTTAAAGGTCTTCTCTGTTTTCTCCTTGATAGCTATCCTGTCTGTTTCTTCCTTCTCTCAGCCTCTTCCCATACTATCTCCAATATCTATAACCATTTTCCACGTTTCTGTATCCTCTAATCTTTCAGTCCCCGTCATAGAGTGCAGACAGTCTATATATTAAGTGGAGACATACAATGTTTCTTTTATGGCCTAGCTTGCTTCACTCAGCAGTAAATCTTCTATATCCACTTTATATCAAATGCCAAGGTGTTCTTTTCTTTTTTTTTGACTGAGTAGTATTCCATAGAGTATATGTGCCACACTTTTTTAGTCCATTCATCTGTTCATGGACATTTGGGTTGGTTCCATGTCTTAGCAATTGTGAATAATGCTCCAGTAAACATAGATGTGCAAGCACTTTCCCAACAGAGTGTTCTCCTATCTGTTGGGTAGATATCCAAGAGTGAAACTGAAGGATCATATGGTAGTCCTATTTGTAAATCTATGAAAAACTGTTGGTGTCTTCTCCGGGCTTAGCTCGATCTAAGAGAAAGCAGAAAGAAAGAGACAAAGAGACAGAGTAGCAATGGACACAGGTGGTCTGAGCCTAAGCAGGCCAAGCAACCTGTGCTGCCCAGGCAAACTGAGTGCCTTTATTTATAGAGCAAAGCACCACTATATATGTGTGCTTGATATACCATAGATAAGTTGATGTTTCACAGGCAATAAGCAGGTAACAAATCTATAAGGGTTTAGGCATATTGGGCCAGGTGTATATCCTGGTTACATCCATATCAAAGAGAAATCCCAGTAAATTTCTTATCTAGTGAAGAGAAGCCATTACAGGTGTGGAGAGGATACTTTCTTGCAAATCAAAGGGCTTTGATAAGGCTATAGAATCTTAGAGAGGCAGAGCAAGGGTCGGATTTTACTAATTGGGGGTCAGGATGTTTCCTAAATTTCATCAGATGTATCTGTTGGAAGTCCCCTAGAAAATTCCACCCTTGTCTCAGCCTGCAGTAAGGATCAAGGAAAGGACAAGCTTTAAGGTTTTGCTATAGCTAATAGGGACAGGTGATGTTTGCTTAGAGTATGTCCCCATATCCTCAGGGCTTCTCTCCAAACATGTCCCTACAAAAATCCTCCATATTGTTCTCCACAGTCACTGGGCTAATTGACATTCTCACCAGCAGTGTAGGAGAACTCCCTTTACATCAAAGCCTTATCAGCATTTACCATTTTTTGCTTTTTAATCTTAGCCTTTCTGACTGGGATTAGGTAGAATCTCATTTTTGCTTTGATTTGCATTTCCCTTATGATAGGTAATGTTGAGCATTTTTTCATATGCTTTTTGGCCATTCATAAGTCTTCCTTAGAGAGTTGTTTGTTCAGCTCATTTTCCTATCTTTTAATTGGGTTGATTTTTGTGGGTGTGAGTGTGTTTTGTTTTGTTTTTATTTTTATTTTTTTTCTCCTTCAGTAAGCTGCTTCAGTTCTCTTTGTATTCTGGTTATCAGTCCCTTATCTGGGGCATAGTTTATAAAAATATTTTCACATTCTGAGGGTTGTTGATTCACACTAGTAACTGTGTCTTTTGCTGTGCAGAAATTTCTTAATCTGATATAATCCCTCTTGTCTATTTTTGGGATTATTGCCTATGCTTTGGGGTTTTATTTAAGTCTTTGTCTACTCTGATCTCTAACAGAGTTTCCCCAAGTATTTTACAGAAATAGTTTTTATAATTTGAGGCCTTTGGTTTAGATCTTTGATATATACTTTGAGTTGATTTTTATCAGTGGTGAGAAGAAGGGGTTCAGATTAATCTTTCTTCAGGTGGCTACCCAGTTTTTCTAGCGCCATTTGCTAAAGAGGTTTTCTTTTTTCCCATTGGATTGACTGGTACCCTTTATCAAAAATCAGTTGTCTATATGTTTTGGAGTTTATTTCTTAGGTCTCTTTTCTATTCCATTGGTTCACAGATCTGTTTTTGTGCCAATACCATGCTGTTTGGATTGTCACAGCTTTGTAATAATATTTAGGGGTCAGGGAGTGAGATGCCTCCT